CGCTGCTGCTCTGTGCAGACAGACCCTGGGCTTCACCTTCTGTGCCCAGGGGCTTTCCCTGGGTCAGGTGTTGAGTGACACCAGCAGCAGAAGCCCCAGGATGGCATGACCAGAGCCTGGGCAAAGGGCAGCTCCTGGGCACTGCCAGCTCCCAGTTCAGGGCTCTGCAGCAGAGCAGGGAGTGCTGGTGTCCCAGCTGGAGGAACAGATAAACAGGGACACTCTGCTCTCCTGGTTTTGTGCATCTTTACACAGCTCTGCCTGAACCTGAGTGTTGAGATGAGATAAAAAAATGTGGGTTTTTCCCCTCAACTTTAATTTTGGGGTCACATTTCCTAGATTTTGACAAAAAGTAGAGTTGATATGGTGCAGTTACAGTGCTGGAGAGATTTAAAAAAGGCCCAGGCAGCACAGGGTGATGATTTCAGAGGGCCCTGGGGCTGTTTGCACAGGCTGGAGCTCTCTGTCCATGGGGCTGCGCCAGGGAAGAGCCATGGAAAGTTCTGGGGCTGTGCTGGCACTGGCTGGGTAAGCTTGGTGTTGCTGGGGCCACTGAGCTCTGAGCTGTTTTCCTCTTCCCTGAGAGGAGGGGATGTTTGCTGAGCAGGAAGGTGCTGGCCCTGCTCTGTTTGCCAGAGTGGTGTTTGCAGCAGGAGCTCCGTGCCTGGCTCCTCTCAGGGATTCCTGTGAAGGCTTTTACCTGATGAGCCACTTAAGGACAACTGCCTGGCCTGGGAAAACAGCCCTGTGTCCTCACTGGCTGCTCCACAGTGGTGGAAAAGGTTCTTCAGGCTGATTTTCCTCCTGGAGGTTTGACAGAGAACCACAGAATAACAGAATGGGTTGGGTTGGAAGGAACCTTAAATCTCCTCTTGTTCCACCCCTGCCATGGCCAGGATGCCACTCCCTAGATCAGGTTGTTCAGGGTCCAATGTCCATCCCTGTTCCAGGGATGTGGCATCCACCCCTCTGGGCATCCCCCGGGCACTGTCATCATCACTGCTCCCAAACACGAGACCCACAGCAGAGCCACACAGAGGTTACTGTCAGTGTTATCTCTATGCACATCCTCTCCTGCAGCACCCCTGGCACCTTTTGGGCATCCCAGCTCTAGCAGAGGCCCTGCTGTTCCTGCCAGTTTGTTTTATGGGCATCACCAGTGTGCCCAGCACTCCAAAACCCACAGGAAGAGCCGTGGTCCCCCCCACTCCCCCAGCATGGGAGCAAACAGAACTTTCTCACCAGCCCTTGGTTGGTGGTGCATGAAGTCAGCAGGCACAGTGGCCTGTGTTTTGTGCACAGGATATTCCCAGGGCTGGCTGTTTCTCCTGGGGAAGGTTTGCTCTGTGATTTGGAGCTATTGTAGTCTGGAGCAGTTTCCGAGGTACTTCCCCTCTGGGATCTCTGCTGGCTTTGGCCACAGCCCAACACCCGGAGTGCTGGAGGCCAGGGGCTGGCAGGGCTGGGCTGGGAGCCCTGTCCCCAAAGCACCCTGCCACCAACCCTGTGCAGAGAGGAGCCCGGGAAGGAGCAGAAATGCATCCCTGCATCTGTGGGAGGAGATTGCCCAGAGCAGCTGTGGCTGCCCCTGGATCCCTGGCAGTGCCCAAGGCCAGGTTGGACATTGGGGCTTGGAGCAGCCTGGGACAGTGGGAGGGGTCCCTGCCATGGCAGGGGTGGCACTGGATGAACTTCAGGTCCCTTCCACCTCAAACCAGTCTGGGATTCTGTGACATGACCCCTCCCTCCCGCCCTGGGATTGTGTCCCTCTCACAGCCAGGGGAGACAGTGGTGAGAGAACAGCCCTGGGCTCTGCTGGGCACGGAGCTCAGGGCACCAGAGGTGTCAGACTGAGTCTGGCTCCTTATTCCTGTGGTTTCTCAGCTTTGCAGTGTCACACAGAGCCCTGCAGTCAGGGACTCGGTGTGTAGGGTCTGGGGGCTCCTCCTGTGATGCTGGCATTCCCTGGGTGCTCCTCTCAGGATTTAGGGGTTACAGAGCCCACAGACCCTCCCTGTGTGGTGTCTGCATGGCCAGACCTCACCTGGCTGCCGTGGGGTTGGTTCTCAGCCTGGGGGAGCTGAAGGAACTTTTTCTGCAGATAACCCTTGCTTGCAGCAGGACCTGTTTGGGGGTGGTGTTGGCTAGCTTGGCTCATTCTCTGCAATACCTGCTGAGTGTTCCTGCTCTCCCTTGGGCAGTGTGGGGGGCTCGTGCTGGTACTGCCCTGGGAAGGGCTCACCAGTGGCTCCAGAGCCCAGCACACAGCACCTGCAATAACATGTTTGTCACTGGGGGAAGGCAGGCACAAAGCCATGGCAGCCACTTCAGTCACTGCCTTTATCTGGTGGCAAACGCCCCCTTCACGCCATCTGCATCCTCCTTTCCCAGCACTGTGAGATTAAACCCTGTTTTCTCTCTGTAAATATTGGCAGGCCCACAGCAGCTTCCCTGCAGGAAAACAATAACGGGGAGCTGTTCCCAGCTCGAGGGGCAGCGTGGGCAGGCACAGCTCCCTGTGCCCCCTCCCCAGCCTCCCCTGTGTGGGCAGCTCAGTGCCCAGCGTGGACCAGGCTCCAAGGACACGAGTTTTATCCTAGATAACACCCAGCCCTTCATCTGGCTGCATCCCAAAGGACTTTACCTGGGTTTGGAGACAGCTGAGGGTGCTCAGCCCCCGTGGGTTGTGCTTTCCCCAATCCAGGTGGAAGTTTTTGGGAGTGCAGGTTAATGGAAGAGAGAAAACCAGAGCTCTTTCCTTGGGAAATGTACATTGGAGAGGTTAAATGTCACTGTGGAGGAACAAAGTGATAATAAAATGTGTATATGTTGGATAAATGCAATTCTGGCTGCCCATGTCCCCCGTCGACCTTGCCCACAATACCTGGGACACACATTGGGGTGGTTGCCTTCCCTGAGTTCTGGAGCAGAGGGAGATTTGCTCTCCTGGCTGTGACATTCCTGGTGGCAGAGGTCAGGGAGCCTGCAGCAGCTGAGGGGGAGCAGGAGGGAGCAGAGGGCACTTAGCTCTCAGCAGCCAGCAGGAGCTGAGCATCGCTGTGTGCTAAATTCAATCAAAGAGATGGGCTGTAATTGAATCAGGGAGGGGCTCAGGGCAGGGCTAGGTGAGCTCTGTGTCTGTCACAGCGAGGGGACAGATATGTCCTTGGAAATGCTTTAAGGGTCCCTCCAGGGGGATCACAGGAGCCTGGCAGGGCTGGGAGTGTGCAGCACTTACAGCACTGGGGTGGGCTCCACTGCTTCCCCCATGGCTTTGGGGCTCTGCTGAGTTCTGGCTTCTTTCTCTTCTTCATACACTTCCAGAGCAAGTGTGGGGCAGGGAAATGCCAGCCTGGATTCCATCCCAGCAAATGGGTGCTCATCCTCTCCTCTGAAAGTGTTTCCCCACTTTTTGGAGTGGGTGTCACAGTGGTCCAGCCTGGTGACCTGCTGGTGTGGGACTGGGAGAGACTGGGACGTCCAGGATGGGAAAAACTCACTGTGACACTCCAGGGATGCTCAGAGCATCACTGCCACCCAGGATCTGAGAGCAAGGGGGAACCCCACCACTTCCTGTCCCTGAATCCCAAACCTCTGTTCATTCTGATTGTGCTCAGAGAGCCTGAGAAGGAATTTTTAGTTTTAAGCCTGTAAGAATAAGTGTGGGGATGTCCAGGCATAAGAAAGCTCAAACTTTCTCTTCCATGGAAGTTTCTTCATAGGGGCAAAGGACTGAACCAGAGCCCTCTTTCCCAGGAGGTGATGTGGGAGCTTGGTTTATTTACCACTTCAGGGGATTTTGGATGGAACATGAATGAATTCCCATCCAATGCAAACAGTGATTTAAATGGTGTGACTAAAGAGCATTTCCCCTTCTGGCCGTGTTATGTCTCTGAGGTCACAAAGCTGCAGGTTCTCTATGACCTTTCTGGGAAAAAGCAGCTATTGGGGACCTGCCCTACTGGAAGGAAATTCTAGGGGGAAAGAAAAGATCTTTTTATGGCCCTTAGTTAATGGCTCTTTTTCCTTTCCTTGCAGTCTGTCCTAAAGTTGTGCTTTTTTTTTTTTTTTTTCCCATCTGGCCACTTAAGGAGATGATCCAACCTTGGGCATTTCTGGACCCTTCATAAAGTGAAACGTGCAAAATCCCAGCAGGCAGCAGATGTTATAATGCTTAATTTTGAGCATGAGAGATAAGCAGCTGAAGGGCTGGGAGACAGCTGCTGAGAGAACTTGGTCAGAAAGTTCCTTAAGTGAGGGAGATTTGGCCCGAAGAAAACCTGTCCAAGAGGAACAAAAGATGTGTGCAAGGAAGGGCACAAGAGGAGGTGGGCTCAGCTGGAATAACTTCCCATCATTTCTCTTAATTCATTCCTTGATGGATGTTGCTGACAGACAGTGTGTGACCAGAGCTGGAGCTTCATCCCCAAATTCATCCTGGTGTTAAGTGAGGAGCAGGACGGGGAGGCTGCTTTGGAGTTTTATCCCCAAATTCATCCTGATGTTAAGGGAGGAACAGGATGGAGAGGCTGCTCTGGAGTTTTACCCCCAAATTCATCCTGGTGTTAGGTGAGGAGCAGGATGGGGAGGCTGCTCTGGAGCGTCCCTGAGCTCTTCCTCCCAGTTCCACTCAGCCCAAAGGCTCTTGTTCTCACCAGTTCATGCTCTGGTGCCTCATTAATGTTTGCATACGGCAAAGAGCAATTTCCACCCTCGCTCTCCCCTGCAGTGGCACAGGGTGCAGGACTGCCTGTGCTCTGCCCGTGCTGTCCATGCCTACTCACGGAAGCACAGTCAGCTCCCCTGCAGCACTCTCCCTGTCTCTGGAGGGAGCTGATTCCCAGTCTCTTTCACTCTGCTGTGCCCAGGGTGCAGGACAGGGGTGGGAGCTCTCCCCTCCTCTGCTGTGCTGTGTGGGGAGCAAGGAGTTTGCAGACCCAGGCAGGGCCTGCGACACACAGCTAATGACCTTCTCCCTGCCTGTGTTTCCTTTACGTCAGAAGTCGGAGTGCTTATTAAGTTTGGAGGCTTACTCCCAGGAGCAGAAGAAGAGGATCTGCTGGTGTCTGGCTGAGAACATCACCAAGCAGCAACATCCGGCAGCAGCTCCTACGGACAGCAAGGTAAGAGACCCACGCGGGAGCTGGAGATTCCTGCCTGGAGCATGGCAGTGATGCTCAGTGATGCTCCTGCCAGGAGGGCTGTGCAGGAGGCTCTTTGTTTGCCAGGTGAGGAGTGAGTTTGTATTCAGGCACTGCTGTCTGCAGCTTCCTGCCCTGCCTGGGGAGCAGTGGCTGCATTTGCATCTGCCGGCTGGAGCTGAGGCAGCCTGGGCTGACACCTCCCAGCATCAGTATTTGAATATTTGCACAGCTGAGGCTCTACAACCCCGTGGCCAGCCTGCTGTGAGAGCTCGCCTCTGGGGCAGGACTGGGAGCAGCAGGAGAGGCTCAAGCTGTGATCTCTGGGTGCTGATGAAAAGGCTGAGGTCATGGGAGTAGTGGGGCAGAGATTTGCTCCTTCTGTGCACTTGGGTGGGCTCAGGTGTTTGATCCTGACCCCACACAGATGTCCTCAAAGCACATTTGGGGAGTGCTGTTTTTCATGCCCAAAGGTAGCCCCAGCACGTTTCCCACACTGAAGAGCTCCAGCCTGGCCCGGGAGCGCTGGCTCAGCAGCTCTGGCAGAGAAATGTGTGTGTGGAGGGCTCGGAGGCTGCCACACACCCTGCCCTGCCTGGGTGTAGGGAACACCCTCATCCACCTCCTCTGGGGCTGGGGCTGCCCCACGGAGCTGTTTGGGACAGTGGCAGTCTCTGCTGGGTCAGGTTTCGGTTGTTGGTGAGTGACACTGCCCCGGGAGGAGAGAAACCCCTGTGCTGAGTGTTTAAAGAGCTGTAAGTGCTGCAGACAGGGATTTTGGGGTAAAACCCCCAGCTCCCTCCCTTGGCTGGCGCAGGGTGGTGGAGCAGCTCCTGCCCCACGTCACTGTCCCCGTGTGGGTGCCTGGCAGGGCTGGCTCCAGGGCAGGGGCTCGTCCTTGGAGCCGCAGCACGGCCGGAGCCGGCGCTCACTGCCCGGTCCTGGCGCTGGGAGATGCGGCCGTGGCTCTGCAGCCTCCCAAACTGGGTCAGCACAAACATCTCCACAGGAGACAGAGCCTCCAGATTCCTTTTCCTGCACGTTTCAGGCAGACTAAAATAGCAACAGCAGCACAAAGCCTGAGAAGCTCGTTACCAACCAAAGCTCCCACTCTGCGAGGGGCCCCGGGCAGCTGAATCACGGAGGTGACAGCGCTTGGCCACGCTCCTGCTGGCCTGTGTGCATCCTGCTGGCACAGCCCCGTGCCCAGGCACGGGGGCCCAGCTGGAATCCACGGCATGGGGCTGCTGCCAGGGCCTTGGCATGGCTCCGTGCTCGGCTGGGTGTGATCCCACCTTGGGCTGGGGATGATCCAGGGTGAGGCTGTGCAGGGACATTTCCAATCTGAGTACCTCAGAGTCTTAAAAAGAGGCATCGTGACAGGAGCTCTGGGCTGTTTGGGCTTTTGGGGCATGGTGCTGTTTGCCCAGACTGTTCATGGCAGGCTGTGGGGCTGTGCTCAGAGCAAGGAGTGTCTGCTCCCTGAGTTGTGGAAGGAGCCTGGCCACTGGACAGGTGAAAATGCACTCCAGAAGACACCACATCTCTTTCAAAGGCTTTTCTGTGCCTCAGTAGCCAAGAGAGTGTTCTTTGGGTGCTGTGGAGAGACATCATAGGCCCTCCAAAGTCGTGACAAATGAAGTTTGTGTTGGCTTACCAAAGCTGATGGAAATCCCGCTGGTGGGGTGTGGGGCCAGGAGGGAGAAAAGGAGAGTGACAGCAACTACCACGCACTTTAAATTGAGTTTATAGCACCTTCCCACCCCAGCAAGGTGTAAAGTGCACAGGATGTAATTTTAAAGCAAACCTGGTGTGAAAGGCAAGAAGGAGCAGCGTGGGGAAGAAGATCCTGAGGGGACAGGAGAGGGTGCTTGGGGCAGGGTGGGCACACAGGGCTGGGCAGGAGCCTGACCTGGGAGAGCTGCAGCTCTCTGGGACTGTGTCCAGGCTGTTTTGTCAGGACAGACCTCTCCGGGGATGCCAGAGCAGTGGCAGGCAGGAGCTGGGAAAATCAGCTGCTTCTTGCAAGGGAGAACTGATCCATTAGCTTGGCTTACCAGTCATTTGATACTAGGGCTATTTAGGGAAAAAACCCAGTGTCTGTGCTCTGTGAACAGACCAATTAAGCTGGAAATATCAGCCTGGCCAGGAATCTGATTTGCAAAGCCTTCAAAACTGCTCCAGCTCAGCAAGAGGCAGCTCGTTTTGCTGTGGCCACAGTCGGGCCAAGGGGATGTGGGCTTTGCTGGGGGGTGGGCAGGAAGGGCCAGCAGAGCTGAGCCATGTGCCAGCTGTGTGCTGGAGCCAGGAAAAGGGACACTGTCCAAGCACAGAGCAGCTCCTCAGGAGCCTCCATGGCTGCCACCAGTGGCAAACTTCAAGCTGTGCAGACGTCAGGCAGATTTTGGGGTGGTACCTCCTGTTTTTCAAGGCCCCCCCTGAGCTCTGCCTGGGTAGGGCAGCACTAAGGGCAGGAAGGTCCCTGTGGCTCATGGACACGGCTCTGCAGAGCTGTCACTGCCTCTGGCAGTGCCTCTGGCAGTGTCCCCAGGGAGGATGGTGTCAGGCCAGCAGGATGAGCCCTGCAGGGGCTTTCAGACCTGGTTTTGGAGCAGAGCTGTTGATTTCTGGGGGACTTGAGCAAATGCAGCATCTCCTTCTGGAGACAGAGGAAGAGAAATCCATGAGGATGCAGCTGTGATAGTCCAGCCCTGCTCCCAGTGGGCTTTTCGTGCCAGAGGAGCTCTGGGGATAGCCTGGCTGTTGTGGTCCAGCTCTGTCCCCAGTGTCTGGGAGACATGGTGCAAATGGGGCTCTGTGCCACTGTAAGACTTGGCTGAAGTTCCCTGACCTGCAAACGCACCCTGCCAGCTGCAGCAGCTCCCAGGAATTTCTCTGTGGGTATTTCCTCCCTCTGCAGAGCCTTCTCCCTCTTGTCCTTGTGTCCAGGTCTGCACTGGGATGCTGTGCCCTGCCCTGTGCCTGTGCTGAGCAAGCCCCTGTAGAACACATCCCCAGGGTGAGCCAGCTTGGAGCAAACCTTCCCCAGTGGGGCTGTGTGGAGCCTGGAGGTTGGCTGGGGCTGCCAGGAGCCACAGCCATGGCTGGCAGTGTGGTTACAGCAGAGCAGCTTGGTGCATGAACTGAGTTAACCTGCCTTGGCTGCTGACCATCAGTGCTGGGCTACCCTCAAACTGCTGCCCCAGCTTGGGGCAATCCAGCCTGACTGAGGAGAGGGCAAACTGCAGAGCAGGGCCAGGGCAAGGCACAGGGAGCTGCTCCAGCTGGTTTGGCTGCCAGGGAAAAGATCCACAGCCCAAGCCCTGTGTGTAAAGGACCTGCTGCCACCGTCTGATTCTCACTGCTTGTTTCTTTGTGTCTTCCACACTCAGAACGGCTGATTACTCTTCCCTTCTGGCTCCGTGACCTGAGATTACCTCGGAGATGATGGCTGGCTGTATCTGAAAGATGCAGATTATCCTTAAGCTAAATAATTACGGACACTCTGTGGCGTGGACTTTGGGAGTCCAGGACGGGTGCTCCCCTTGTTTCCCGAGGGAGGTGGTGGATGCTCAGCACTGTCCCGGCCCTGGCTGAGAGCAGGCGTGGATGACCCCGGCCCTTCCTGGCAGCGCTGGCTCCGGTGCTGGGAATGAGCGTTCGGGGGGGACTGGCCGGCCCCTTCCTGGCCTCCCTCTGCTCAGGAAGGGCAGGGCTGTTTCTCTCACTTATTTACAACGTGCTTGACAAGTGCGAGTAAATGAGCTGTCAGCAAAAGCAAACAGTGTGTGATGGAGGGCTGATTGAAACCAGGGCCGGTGGGGCGGGAGGGACAGCCCAGCTCCCCCTGCACCTGCAGCTGGGGACGGCTCGGTGTGGGCCACCCCTCTCCTGTCCCATCCCCTGCCTCCTCTTCCTCATCCCGAGCACCCTAGGCACCCACCCTGCTGTCTCTCCACAATCCCTGCTCCTTGGCACGCCCCTGCCCCAGAAACTCCCTCCTCCTTGCACTGGGACATCTCCCGAGCCTGCCTTGCACAGTCCAGCACCAGGCACTGGGGTGGCTGTGACCAGCACTTGGGGACAAGGCTGTGGACAGCCCCAGTCCTCCCTGTGTCTCTCAGCAGGTGCTTCACTCACAGCAGTTTAGTCAGAGTGTGATCAGCACTGCAACGGAGAAGGAGGGGAGGATTTTGTGCCTTTTTATTTTGTTTTTGGCCAAAGTCTTTCCATTTTGGGCTGGGAACCTGCTGCCCCAGCTGTGCCAGCTGTGCCCTAGGGGGTTCTGCTCATCTGCTGATGTGGGGCAGGGCATGGCCAAGGGTGCAGGAAACCTGGATCTTCACCACAGCCTTTCCTTCCACAATACCAACCTGAGCACATCACAGCAGTGCCTGGAGGGCCAACCTGAACCTGGCCATACCCTCCAAGCACCTAATTGTGCTGTCAGGGGGCTCAAATAGGGGAGAAACCTTGAGGGTGATTCTGTCCCACTGAGAGGTAAAGCATCAGCTGGCAGGATGTGCAGCCAGGTCACAAAACCAAAAGAAAATCTTGTTCCACTGTTCCATGCCAGCTCTGGGCTGGGAAAGCTCATTACTGAGGACAGCCAAAGGCTCCATGGATTTGTGAGGCCGTGGGACCAGAGATGCTCTTCCTCTCTGAGTCAGGCTCCAGTTCAGCTCTGTCTGCTTAAAAATCTGGAGGAAGCTGTCCCTCCTTGTACAGAGCCATGGAACCACATACTGGTTTGGGTTAGAAAGAATCTTTAAAATCATCCAGTTCTACCTCTCTGCCATGGGCAGGGACATCTTCCACTATCCCAGGTTGCTTCAACCTGACCTTGGACACTTCCAGAGATTCAGGGGCAGCCACAGCTTCTCTGGGCACCCTGTGACACGGCCTCACTTCCTCTATAGTAAAGATTTTTTCCTAATATCTGAGCTAACCCTGCCTTCCTTCAGCTTAAGGCCATTCCCCTT